AAATGCACTCAAACAAAATAATGACATTCCAATAACAATCCAGTGGAGACATTCATATAATGACGTGATTGAGATCCCCAAAAACAATCACGGATTTAATTTGAACATATATCAGGAGACATAGAACACTAACCTCGAGTAAACACGAAAACGATTTCAAACTCGAATCCAATCGGGGAGAAATTTCAAATTCGTAAAATGAGATACAATGTTGATGTTTTTCAATGCCAAAATGATCAAAAATGGTGTGGAAAGATAGCTGTCGTCGTCGTTCCCATTGTCGTTCTAAAAAACCCTTGTGGCGCGAGATGCGGGAGTGGGTCTGGAAGAGAATAAAAAGAACTTTTTACGTCGCACACCCTAACACGTGACGTAAAAAGCCTCTATTACGTCGAGTGGGGGTGCGCGACGTAAAAAGTGATACTTTTTACGTCGCGCACCCCCCACGTGACGTAAAAAGTATCACTTTTTACATTGCGCACCTTCATGTGACGTAAAAAATGATACTTTTTACGTCGTGCACCCCCCACGTGACGTAAAAAGTATCATTTTTTATGTCGCGCACATCCCACGTGACTTAAAAAGCTCTCTTTTATGTCGCGTTGTACCAGGTGCGACGTAAAAGAGGTTTTTAACGTCACCTCCTACAATATGCGACTTAAAAGTTTCACCTCTTATTTACAAAATTGCCACCGCGTTTTATTTACGTCTAATATTTTGACATGCGACGACAATTGGGTGACGTAAAATGTCATTTTTGCACTAGTGCATGTAACAAAAACAATATAGAAGAGAAACGAACAAGTACTACCATCAAGATATTAGTCATATGGTTTACTAAGCATTCTCACATGTTTCACAAACAAGTTTTAAACTTTTGTTCAAAATTCTAAATATTGATGTTAATCATCACTTTGTAATGGTATTAGTTAATTAAGAGGTGGAGATAAAAAACAAATATCTATTATCTTTCCATCGGAGAAACATATGTAGCATTAAAAGATGTACAACTTGGTCTTCCAATTAATGGAGAGTTCCATCGAAAGGAGTAATAAAAGAAAATTCAATCAAACTTTTTTAATTAAATGTAACATTTCAACAACTTTCAGATGACATAAACTCTAATGTTATTGCTCAACATGCTTATGCACATATTTTATGCATTATAGGAAATTTATTAATGTTAGATACATCCGCTTCTGGAGTTTACTTGATGTATCTTTCACTTTTACAATACCTAATTGTTGTGTCTTAGTCTTATTATAGTTAGAGATTTATTATGTTTATTTGTCTATATCGAACTTTAGACCATGAAGTTGACCATAATTAATAAAATATTAGATGTTGTATGTTATTTCTTTAATGCTTGGGCATGAGACCAAATTATATGTCTTTGTCCACCAATTTTGTATTTAACTTATGAAGAGGTTGATACAAGATTTGGTTTTCCTCTAGTAAAAAGGTAAATTGTTTCATTTTTATTTTATCTTAGCATTTTTTTATCTATAAAATAACAAAATTATTTCTTATCTTAGATGATCTTGACCTAGCCAGAAGTAAACTATCCTACATACATCATACATGTGATATAATACATGTTGAATTAGCTACAACCAAAGAAGGTATTAACAATAAATTTCTTATTTTTGCATACATATTTTAATTTTAGATATATTTTTATTTCAATGTGCAATTTATATAGACTTCTTACTAGATAAGTGTTACACAATAACTAATAGATATTGAAGTGTTATTCATTTTATAACTGTTGAGTTTCATCACATTGATCCAGTCATGAGATAGTTTGACCTACGTCAAAATATTCTTCATGATTCAATGAACCTTGATGACTTCACAAAATAGATATGAGAGGTCAAACAGACGCATTTTGGCCACAATATCATCAATCATGAATTGCATCGTGGAATGATCAACATAATTGACTAATGGAAAGTCAACAATTCCATAAAAATAGACATTTGCATGGAAACACGCTTTACATGTAGGGGTGTTAATATGAGTTCTAACCCGGCTCACCACGGGTTCGAGCCGGGTTGGGTTCAATTTTTTTTATTTTTATCGATTATGGGCTAAAAATGAATCCGACTCACTTAACCCACGAGTTAAACGGGTTCGAGCCGGGTTATGGTGGGTTGACCCACAACCCACCATTAATTTTAAATTTTAAAAATAATTATAATAACATACTAACCTTAATTAATCATTTATTTTAATTTTTTAAAATAATTATAATACTTTAGTAACCCTAATTGATGTTATCCTGTTTTACCTCTACCTACATTGTTGGCTATCGCCACAAGCCAAACCCTCACTTAAACTTGTTATTAGTTGTTCAGCTGCACCATTACGTTTGTCGTCGCACTTTGGTCACTTGTCTTATTATCTCGTCCACCGCACCACTACACATGTCAATTGTATTGCTTTCAAAGGTAAGAATTTGTTTCATAACCTAGACCAATGTATTGCTTTCAAAGGTAAAAATTTGTTTCATAACCTAAACTATTGGATTGATGAATCTTTATTTGAAAATTGTAGCATCTATACATTATTTGTTGTTTGTTATTGATTTATACGTATATCTCTTTAATATATGAATTTTTGACTTCTTTCTTTTAAATTAATTTACAGTATGAAATCTAAAACAATACATCAAAGTGTCAATGTAAATTGTATTGGTGATGATTTTATTATTAATGAAAAACCCAATGAGTCAATTTCAGTTAATAACAAAGATACTGATGTTAAGAAAGAAAGGAAGAAAACATAAGTTTTTACATCGAAAGTTTTTATATAATTTAAAAAATTAAAAAAATATGGGTTAGTGAGCCAACCCACCTAACCCACCAACCCGTGGTGGGTTGAGCCAGATTGTAAAATTTCTGGCTCGCCAAAAAATGAGTCGGGTTGAGCTCACCTATTTTCAGCTCAACCCGTGTGAGCCGGGTTGGCTCACTTTGACACCCCTATTTACATGTAATGTTTCTTATATGATACAATCTGCATCCAATATTTTTGCAATCTCTTCTATGACTTCATCTTTAGCATATCATGTAGCTAGATCCAAGAATTATCGATTAACAATATCTATACCTTCATATTCATCTCAAGAAGAGGAACATAATGATAATGATATAAAAACATAACAAAGACATATCTTTCATCAAAATGAAAGAGCTAGAGGAAATATAGTTGGCACTAAATTTTTCAACTTACCTTTATATTACATTACTTTTTAACATGTTAAAATTTTATTAATATCAATATATGTCATTCTATTAATTATTCTTATAATTTTTTTTGTACTTATAAATTTAATAATTAAAAAAACTAATGATTTTCGTATTTAAAAAAAAATACAAGAGTTTAGCTTGATAGTAAGATTTTCTATTAAAAAATATATATATAAGAGTCATACTATCAAAGACGAATTTCATATTAAAAAAATTGTAACAAAAATCATATCAGTAGCACAACTTTCTTAAAAAATAAAATAATTAAGGACCTAAAAATAATTTTTTTATATAAAATTGTATCACCTACTACTTATTTAAATCTATAATTTTCCAAAAATTTGTACTAAATTGATAATACACATAAAAGTACACTAATTTGGTAAACAAGTTTAACAGAACAGTCACGAGCCAAAATAATTGTACTATTTTTACTTCTTCTCTTTTCGTTAGGTGAATATGATATTTTTGTTAATTCCATCAAATTATTTAATAGAAAGTGCCATTGCTCTTATCATACTTCTTCTCTTTTCTAATATTTTTACTTATTCTTATTCACATCAAATTATTCACATTAATATAAAATTTATGTATTCATGTTTATATCAGCTTTGTACACATATCATTAATAATATATTATATGCCATAAATTTATTAGTACAATAAGTATGATTACATTAATAGCATATATGGAATGAATAACACTTTTCTTAATTTAACTTCAATATCTTGATTCACTTTTAGAAAAAAAATAAAACTAAGACCGAAAATATTAATGAATGAAAATTTAAAAACTAAAATAATAATAAAAATTTAACCAAATTTTTAATATAAAATTATAAACTTTTATTTTATAAATAGTTTGTTGCAGGTAACATCAATTATCCTGTAGCAATGATAAGGTGAGTCGAGTCACAATCGAATAGTGGTGTTTGAATCTGTTAAAATAAAAAGAGTTGTTTTTTACTAATGATTATAACTTTTAGCCTAGTAATAAGCATTCGATCTTAACAATTGTTATTAGAGACAATGTCACAAATTTGATTCTTGGTAGACAATTGTTGAGTCATGAGTCTTTTGAATTTTTATAATTTTGATTTTTAAATTTAATAATTTTTTATTATTTAATAATATATTATTAGTTAAATTTTATCACTAAGTTAATTTTAATTTATGATTTTTTTCTTTCTTATTAGATTTTAATTTAAAATTAATTAATAATATGTAAAGTGACATATATATATATATATATATATAAGTCCTATTTAAATAATTGAGATAAATGATTAGAGACTTTTCTAATATTTTTCTTATCTAATGACAATTGAAATAAATAATGTGAATTTAATTAAGATGTTTATTACACAAAAGACTAACATAACTCTAATATGACGTCAAATTTTAATTTAAAATTAATTGATATTAGACAAATTAATAATACAAGTCATAATTAAAGAATTGTGGTGAGATTTTCTCACATCTCTTAAAAATCTCAGAAGACTGTTCAGGAAGAAATTATCTAAATATTTATAAGGCTAGCATTCAATTATACTTTAATCATGATTACTTTTAAAGAAAAAAAATAAAGGAAAAGATGGAGCAGCCCAACTTGTGCATTCATGGTCCCTATGTTTGCAATTATAAAAGCAGACAATGCATTAATGAATGTAGTAAACGAACTAGAAGAAAAGAAGAAGAAGAAGAGTAATAAAAACCATTGAACTAAAAATTCAGAAAAAAGGTGTGAATATGGAGGAGAAGTTTTCAGTGGTGATCGATGTGGAGAAGATTTGTGAGGAAGGGGAGTGCAAGAAGCTAAGAGAAGCATGTGAAAAATGGGGTTGTTTCAGGATCATTAACCACTCTATTCCTGCAACTCTCATGGGTGAAATGAGGAAGGTCGTCGAAGCTCTGTGCGAGCTTCCTCTGGAGACCAAGAAACGCAACATAGAAGACATTGGTGATGGTGGTTACGCCGAACCAAATACCCTCAGCGCCTTCTATGAGGCTCTGGGAGTCTATGACATCAGTTCATCACAAGCCATTCACAATTTCTGTTCTCAACTTCATGCTTCGCCTCACCAGAGGTTTGTTTCATTTCTTCTTTCTCTTCTTCTCTGTCGAATATTAGATCATTCTTACATTTCTATCCTAAAGTTAAGATGTTAAATGTATGGGAAAAAATTTATATTTTTTTAATCTTGTGTTTTTATTTTAAAATTTATTAGTTTAGTTTTTTATTTTTTATAAAAATATATGTTTTAAGATTTTACATTTAACTAAAATGATTTTTTATTTTAACATAATTCATAATAGAATTAAATATAATATTTAATAATAAATTGTTACCATCATAAAATTATAAAAATAATAGATTCATTCATTTTTCTTGAATTTTAAATTAATTATTTAATTTTAAAATATAAATATCAAAAACAAATTTATAGAAAAATATAAGATTAAAAATATATTGAATCTTAAATTTTAATTTTTTTATGAAAAAAAAACGTTTATTGAAATAAATGGATGTAATACGATGAGTTCCTTAAAGTAAATAATTGAATTTTACTGTAAAATTTGTATTTTAATAATTGTCAAGTAGTAAAACATTAAAATACAAAGAAAAATTAGAAAAATATAATTTTTTTATCAATCTCATAATTAAAATAAAATTTATTACAATATAATATAAGTTATTTAAAACTGTGTTACATGGTAAAATAGAATAAAAGTATTTTGGATTTTTTATAATAACATAAGTTAAAAAGGGGATAACTTTTACTAGTCATTGTTATTTTTAGTATCATTCTTGTTGTAATTAATAACATTGTCCCTTTTATTAAAGTTAATAATCATTGTATCAATAGATATTTTTTTCTAAATAAATTAATATAATTTTAACATGTCATGCTAATTTATATGATACTTGACATGTTATTGATTTGAAATATTATTAATAATATATAAATTACATTGATATTAATGCGACATATTACATCATATATTTGTTTACCAGAGAACTTAATAAAATTTACTTCTAAAAATAATAAAACTAAATTAATAATTGAATAAAAAATAATAGGATAACATTTTATTTAGATTTATTTTTTTATCTAATTATTTTATTATGTCATTTATTTTGTCTTTTTTTATTATTTATGTTTTGATGGTAAAAAATATGAAATGGGTTCTTCATTTTTATCTTAATTAGTTTGTACTTTTTGGTCGATAAAAAATTTGATCGATCTTATACTCGTTATTTTTTTAGGTTATTATAATTAAGTGATAATATTGTAATTAATTAAATAAATTTTCACATAAATCACTAATTTAACATATCATCACATAATAAAGAATTTCATTCATCCTAAAAAATTTCGAACATGTAAAACTGCTTAAAATGATATTATAATAAAATATTTACTATTAAAATTTGTCATAATGTTATTACACATCTGGTAATTAATTAATCATTAATTTTCACTTAATAAATTATGTTGTTGTTTAAATCATGACAATTTAGGAAAATAATTATAATAGTTATAAATTTATTAATAATATTATATATATATATATATATATATATATATATAATTGACATCCAGTAAGTCAAAATATAAATTTTTTTTACACAAAAAAAATATAATACATGTATACCACTTCAAGAGTAAAACAAAGTATAAACTTATTTTATTTTTAGTTCCAAACCTATTTTTGTTGGGGTTTACCCCTACAACATTTGTTCTCTTGTAAACACACGATCATCACCGTTCAAAACAATATACAAAACATATAAGATAAGTTAATAATTTAATTTAAGTATGTAAATTAAAATATGAGATAAAACAATATAATTCATCCCAAGTTTTCATATATCACATCGCGCTAATAAAGGCTCACATTCACATCACATAAACAGTAGACAACTTTCGAAAAACTAGATATTGAAATAGACATCATATATATGCACCTGTCACACCATAACTCCCCAAGTATATAACACAAGGTATATATACTCAGGTGCGACTAGAGTAAGTTTCTAAATGACTTATCAAGACAAAATTCTTTTTCACCCCATAGGCTAAGTCATTAAAAGTCTTCTTCAACTCTCATCATCTGATCCTTTCATATATGTGATTCCAGTGACCAGTAGAGTCAGGATATCTCATCGAGTCCCAAATTAATATCTATATATACAACGTTACACACATGAGGATACCCCTTATATAATTTTTATATCACAACACAATATTTTTCAAGACACATACTAACATTCAACATACCTCATTTCATGTTCATAACATGTATTTTAATATCTTAAGGCATATACATATCATTTGTCACATTATAACAAAATATAATTTTTTTTCTAATTTGACCTCTACATATTCTTTTGATCATAGCTTTTTTAGTAGATATCATTTTTAACTAATTTTTATTTTATTGGATTCATTATTTTCGGGGTCTCGATTTGCATATATGGAACATTAAATTTGGAGTTCGAAACTACTTTTATGATTTTTTCAAAAACTTCTGAGCAAATATGAAAGTGTTGAGCGAAATTTTGACTGAATGAAACCTCAAACACGGTCCAAAATCCGTTAGGCGAATCTAAAAGTGTTGAGCGAATTTCAAGTACTTTCAACACTGTCTTAAATTTGTTAAGCGAATTTAGATCTGTTAGGCGGATTCATGACAGTAGCAGACTGCATAATCTGCTCAATACCTTATGCCTAATGTTATAATCAGATTAATTCTAAATCTTATCCTCTATATTGTAAATAAATTCACTAAATTCAATATAAGAACAATACATTCATACAAAAAAATATCTTTTTCAATCTCATATAAATCAATTATACATTCACATTCAATATAATATCACAAATCAACAAATACATAATCACACAATCAAATTTCATGAATATCAAGTCACATTCACAATCAAGATCTTTTAGCCTAAAGTACAATTAAAATTGAAAGATAATTAACTTCACTTACCTCAAATATGTGCCTCCAAGTTAAAGAACTCAAACAACTCCTAAATTTTCTAGATAGATCCTACTTATAAAACACTCAAATTAACAATTCATATCACAAGATTCATTTTTTTACAACAAAGTCCTCAAACAAGTCCCGCGGGATCCACATGTGAACCTAAACCCAAAATATTCAAAGATAATCTAAAATTGGAAAAGAAATAACTTTTTTCTATTCAAAATTTTGATCGGATAGAAATAATTTTCTCTCTTTCATATCACTAAAATATGTTTGGATCTAAAGGATGAGAGAGAACAAGAAATTTAGAGAGATGACAAAAAAATTATAAAAAGATAGTGATTTTGTGAAAATAAAGTTTTAATGTTTAAACTTTTCTATTTATAATTATTTTTAGTTTAAAAAGGTAAAACTTCAAAATTAGTTTCCAAATTAATAATATATTACGGTAACAAAATAAGGAAATTAATTATGTTGATTAATTATTAAGTTTGTTAATTATTCAAAATTTACATAATAACATAATATATTAAATGTAAAAAATAATTTATCGACCAAATAATGAATAAAATATTATAAATTATAAGCGTAAAAATATTTGACTTTCAATAATAGGTAAACGAAAAGATAAAAAAGATAAAAGGAAATAATAATAATAATAAACCGTAAAAATAGGAAAACAATTATTAAATAAACGACTATTATTTAATTATTTTTCAAATTCAATATCGCAAAAAATAGTACATAATTTTTACTTAATAATTTATTGAAAAAAACAGTAACCTTTTTAAATTTAATATAATGCTAAGAAATAATTTTGTAAATTTAAATGCTATATAAGAAATAAATTAAAAGAAATATATCTTATGTATAGAAATCAGTATTTGTAGAATTTTTGTTGCTGTTGTATATTATAAGATTATTGGATGTGGATCAATTTAAAACATCTAGAGGTGAAATTTTCAATATTTAAAAAAAAAATCAATATAATTATTAAAATAATTTTGATCATAAAAGACAAGAAGGGATGATTTTGTACAAGAGATTTAGGAATTATGTATACTTGTAGCCACAAAGTGACGTGAGAAGCATTTTTCTTTTTTAAGTGCTTCAAATTGAACGACCAACTTGCGTACTAACTTATTATTAAGTTAACTAAATTTTTTATTGTACTCATCTCCAGTGCAGCCTGCAACAGACAGATCTATATCCATGGTTTTGATATTTGGCATAGTTTATAGTATTTCTGATTTTATTCCCACAAATGGAAAACTTCACGTGGTTTTCTCAAAGTGTGAACTTGTGTTGATGATGACTGCTTTTCCTAGGCAAATAATGGAGGCATATGGGCAAGCTCTTCATGGACTAGCAGTGAAAATAGGACAAAAGATGGCTCAGTCCCTTGGTGTAGTGCATGGTGTTGATTTCGAGGACTGGCTTTACGAGTTTAGGTTTAACAATTATAACTTCACCCCAGAAGCAGTAGGATCCATTGGAATTCCACTACACACGGATTCAGGCTTCTTAACTTTTCTTAAAGATGATGAAAATGTTGGTGGTCTTGAAGTGAAGGACTCTTCTGGATCCTTTGTGCCAATCCCTCCTTTCCCTGGGACCTTCCTTGTCCTTCTTGGAGACATTGCTCGTGTAAGTATGTAGAAATAAACAATTTAGGTCCAATTATAGAACAAATGCACTTAATAAAGTGTGACCGTGAATAAATGAATGTGCAGGTTTGGAGCAATGGAAGGTTCTGCAATTTGGAACACCAGGTGCAATGCAAGGATGGGAACAAACGACTTTCAATTTCTACATTAATTTTAGCACCCAAGAACAGGAATGTTGAGGCCCCGGAGGAGCTGGTGGACCATCATCACCCTCGGCTGTATCACCCTTTTACTTATGAAGATTATAGGAATGTCAGAGCTAGCAAGAAGGTTTCCCTTACGGAAACCCTTGAGCTGTTTCGCTTGGTCTAGCCCTTGGAAGCTGGGTTTAGGAATTAATATAAGGGGTCATATTTTAAGTATCTTTGAATTGAAATGAACTTATAACAATATTTCCATCGAATAAAGTGGAAAACAGAAAAACCTAATTCCACTATAGTAGACCAACTGGTACTGGTTTGTATGGATCTTGATTCTTGACCAAATGTGGAAGTTGCATTGAAGTTTAAAAAAAAAAAAATATATATATATATATATATATATATATATATATATATATATGTGTGTTTGGTTTTGATGAGTTTTTAAATGTTAGGTTTAAGAATATGTGAATCTTTTTTTGTAACTGTCTTTTGAGACTTGACTTGTCTTATATCAAAGTTTTCACCTGAAAATCATTTTTTTTTAATAAAATCTATAAATAAACCAATAAACTTATATGTATCAACTACTCAAATAGGTTAGTGGCTTTATTAACATAAATACTCTAGAAAGCATGTGAACTAATCAACAAAACAGGCTAGCTCGTCAAGGTAGAAGCATTTGTGTATCCACCAAAGTTTATAAGAATATAAAAATGATAAACAGAATATATATTATTAATTTCATCAAAATTTACATGCCCGGTTTCATTCCTTTCCAATAAAAACTAGAAACTACAAGATAATCTATACTTGATCACTTAAATCAAATCAGATTAAGATTAAAAAAGGGGAAAGTCTCAAGAAAATTTCTTCCTTTTTTTTTTCAGAGGAAGAAAAAGTTAACCAAGTGGAAGGGCTGACCAACATACAGACGACCAAAAACCAAAGCGAAAAGGTTGTCTTGAAAGAGGAAATGGAGTTGGAATTCATGCATATATGGTGTTTTAGACGAGAGAACCGCTATCTGAGAAATCAACATGCATAGAATGTGTGTTACTGTTCATGGGTGTGTATTCAGTGGTTGTGGTTTGTGTGAGCTCACTTGCAAGGCTTGATAGATCCATGGCTGGCCACACAAAAGCTGGCTTGAAAGGTGGAACATGAGGCACAGGCACTGAACCAGATATGATCTGAACAATTGTTTGCATCTTTGGTCTCTCACTGGCAATTGGGTGAGAGCATGCTAATCCTAGTTTCAGAACCCTCTCTGCCTCTTCAGCAACACAGTCATGCTCAAGTCTTGGATCTACTGCATCAAGTATCCTTTGCTCACGATGCAGGAGCCATACCCAATCCACCAAGCACTCATACCCCTGATTCTTGGTCCATGGCCTTTGGCCACACACCACCTCAAGGAGCACTGCTCCAAACCCGTAAACATCCGATTCCCTTGTGGCCCTCCCCGTGTGGAAGCACTCAGGGGCAATGTACCCCATGGTGCCATGCACTCCTTCCAACTCTGCATATGATGTTTTCCCATTCTCCAATGCACGAGCCAAACCGAAGTCACCTAAACGAGCATTGAAGTCTGAGTCCAGCATGATGTTGCTGGCCTTAAGGTCTCTGTGGACCACTTTCTGATCATACTCATTGTGTAGGTAGTTCAATGCAGAAGCCACCCCTGTTATGATCTTGTACCTTAGAGACCAACTTAGTGGGGTATTGCTGCTCCCTTCCTCACAGAAAATGTGGTTGTCCAAACTTCCATTAGGCATGTAATCATACACCAACAACAACACCCCGTTTCTATGACACCACCCTGCATTTTTTTAATTAAATTTAGAGTCAGATGCTTAAACAGAATACTATATAAGATGGCAATCACAGAGAAACTCTTGAAATTGACCTCTTGTTTGTTTGTATTACATTAGTTGGCTTGCTTGTAGGTAAAGGCAAGATATTTGGCCATGTTTATCATTATAGTTTGAAGATAATGTTGCGGCTTTTATCTTACTATATAAAGATTTCGGCCGGCTAGATGGTTATTTTTTTTCTGACTTGGACCTCAATTAAAAGATAGTAAATTTCAGTTGACCATGCATAGAAAATTATTTTGGAGATTTATCTTCTACAAGAAATGAAAATAAAGCTGGAACTTGGGTAGGGTGAAGGAACCTTCAATGAATCATTATCTTTGGTTTGGACCAAAAGGCAGAGAAAGAAAGGGAGAAAAGTTATCACTCAACTCAGCGGTTAATGTTGACTTGGGACAGAAGCTATAAAGTAAGGTCCCTTTCCAAAGAAAACGAACCCAGAGGAAGCATATCCAAATGTGGAACCATATTCGGTACTTATGATCAAACACCAAAAGAAAAAAAAAAAAACTTAAGTGAAGGACATTTTTGAACTAGTCTTCTTTGGCTTTGTGCAACAATGTTCAATACCATCAATGAACAAGGATAGGATGGAGGGACATTACTAACTGTCACCATAGCTGGTCAACCTTGTCAGCGAAGACATGTCCAACAGAATTTTAGCAATAATTGCTCCTACGGATAGATCTGTTACAAATATTCCTTAAGGATGATGATGATGATCTGGACAGGACCACTGTCGGATCTAGATCTAAATCCTAATAACTCTAATTTATGTTAATGAAAGTGATAACCAAACAAAATTATTAGCACTAAACAAACTAAATGTTCATCACAAAATGAAAACTAAAGAAACGTTCATAGCGATAAATTAATTAAACTAACTAACCAAGTAAGCGAACGAGGTTTTTGTGACGAAGACGATTGATAATGGTGAGTTCAGCCAAGAAATCATCCGTGCTTTTCATCTTATCTCTGGAAAACATTTTCACAGCTACTTCCAACTTCTCCTTCGGAAGTGTTCCTCTGTAAACGACGCCGTATCCACCTTGTCCAAGCTTATGCCTTTCATCGAAATTATTAGTTGCTTTCTTCAATTCTTGAAACCTAAACTCTCTGGGAGTTCCTGGTAAACTCTTGAGAGTGCCCAAAATCTGGGTCTCACTTTCCCTATTCTTTCTACTTAACCAATAAACCCACCCTACAACACCCGCCACTAGAAGAACCACAAGAGGAACTCCAACACCCAACCCAATCTTCAAAGCATTTCCAATCCCATTTTTTTCGGGGAAAACTTCAATAGAAATGTTCCACCTCAGAACGCAGTTTAGTTCAACGTTGTCACCGGTCGAAGCAGAGAACCCAAAATAAGAAACCCTGTTTACCACTTGCTTCAGATCGAGAGATGAACTCAAAACGGGCTTAGCAGGTTTCGCCACTATGGGCGCGTCCTTATCAGGCTGCACCGCCATGAACACGTCGACAACCTTCCGGTCACCGTCATACTCCACCCACAACACGTGGAAGCGCGTGACGTTGGGCACGATCTCGAAGCCCAAGGGAGTGAGAGGCGTAGTGACGTTGGACCTGACGCCGTTAATGTCCAGCCCGATGTGGTTGTCATCGGGGTCGAAGTCCTGCCTCACGGTGTCAAGTTCGACGGCGAGGATTTGGTTGGTGAGGTTGCCGTCCGTGGAGGCGTTCGTGAGGCCGAGAAACTCGCCGTGACTGTTGAGAGGAGGCTTGGAGGGAGAAGGCGCGATGAGGAAGGCAATACCCTCGCCGGGAGTGTCATTTTTGGGACGGTACACGTTTATCAGAAAAGAAGTGTTGAAGGAGACGATTTTTCCGTCGAGGTTATTGTCGTCGTCCCAGAGAGTGAAGGGGGTGTTGAAGAAGATTCTGCCGGAGTGGTTGGCGAGGGACACGTTGCCGGTGCTGTCTGGTGTTACTTGGAGAGCGTCCAGATTAATGGCGGCATTGGGCAACACCGCGAACGTGTTGAAGTAGGATTGGTTGAAGGGACCGAAAACGTGGGTTTCAGTGTTGAGAATCTGGGCTTGGGAAGTCGGCGCCGGGAACAGGAGGAGGATGGTGGTGACGGCGGCGATGGCGGCGGAGTAACCACCCATGTTGTTGCATTGGAGGGGAAACATGAAGATATATTTTTGTTGACGTTGATTCGTTTAACTTTCACTATTTTTCTCTGCTCCAGGAAAATGAGGATCGAAGTGTGAAGGCACTATTAAACTAACCAAACAACTCTGCGTTTGGATTTTTGAATTAGCGACTCTTGGCTTTGTTTTCCATGAAGTTTCTGTCTTCAACAACGTGGTATTGTTTCCACGCTAAAGATTATAAAATTCAGAATCAAGTTTTATTTGTTGGAACGTGAGATTTTAATCCTCTATCATATCGTGAGTTAAAATATTTTCAATTTATTAACAAATTACGTAATTAGTTAGATTGTTTGTGTAGTAATGTGTATGATTGTGTCTTTAATTTGAAGGCCTATAATTTAATGCCACCCTGTTCTTCTTTAACTCTTTTCTTTTATCTTTTGAAAAAATTGCTTTATTGACAAAAGGGGCATTTGAATTGATGATAAGATGATATATTTTTATTATTGTATTTGCATTTGCATGTGATCTTTTAACCTAATACAGTTGTTCCCGATTCCTTATAGGCTTTAGAAATGATTTCATTTTCTTATTGCCTTTCTCGTGCAACTTGGTCATATTTAATGGACCATTCACACTAAACGTTTATTTATATTTTTTTATCTTATTTTTTGTTTTTATTTCAGTTTTAAGTTAAGTGGTGTACACTCTCAATTACCCACACCTATTTTAAATAATGACCGTTCAAATATATAACATTAAAAGATAAAATAACAAAAATTACATTAAAATAATGACCATTTAAATATATAAAATTAAAAGATAAAATAAAAAAATTCTTCCTACTTAATAATAATTTTAATAAAATAATTATATATATAGATGTATAATAGATTACGACAATAAAATTAAAATCACACATATTAAACTTTCTTTTCAATAAAAAACTATATTGAAAATAATTAAAAAAATAAACATGAAAAAGATAAAAGATTACCAATCTTTACTTTATTTTTGTTTAACATAAAATAAAAAAATATTAGTTGAATAGTTTAAACAGTTTTTTTATGTTTTTCTTAATTTCGTGTAAACGTTATTTTCAATATTAATTTCATTTATTTTTTCTAAAAATGAGTTAATATAATCTATCCTAAGATGTCATAAGTTATTTAAAAAACTACAACATTAAAATATTATATTTGTCAAATATGACAAAATGAAGGTGACGTTACATTTTCTCCTAAACAACTTAATGATATTAATAAAACATACTAACATTGACTTTATTTAAAAAAAGAAATCATATAAGTATATTCACATATCTGATAATTTTTTTTATTGTGCTACTTGTAATAATTTAACATTTTAATCTATATTTTTTTAATTTTTTTCATATATAAAAATAAGGGTATATTTTTTAGAAAGGATAAAATATTATTATAAAAGTAGAAGACGTGAGAATAAATTTATTTATTTAGGTTATATATTTATAATTCTCAATTATTTACTAAGAACATTTATTATTTTAGTAGTTGAGAATTTTTGTATAAGATAATTTATAATACTACAACAATTTATGAACTATGTAGAATCTACATTATTTTCTATAATTTAGAAATTTTATTCAATTTTGCTTTAATAATATTTTTTTAAAAGTACAATAATTGATAATATTATTAATCTTTGCGGAAGGAATGATTATATATATATATATATATATATATATATATATATATATATATATATTTTTTTTAAAGTAATATTTTTCTTTATACTCTTAAATTTAAGTAACTCACGTAACGATATATTGTTTTATCGAATTTTTTAAGAAACTATTCTCACAGATAAAAATCCTTTTATGTATTTTATATTATATATATTTTATGTAATATTATTTTTATAGATATATTATGTGAATTTTTTTATTTAATTACAATAATGTCTTAATGTCATCTTTATTATGTTAATATTAATTGTTATATTTAAGATATTGTGTGTTTTGTATTTTAGTTTATTATAATTTTATCTTCAAAATTATTTTGATGAATTAAAAATGAAGGTGTATATAAAATAATTTTAATTTTAATTTTTTAAATAATGTAAAACTTATATATATATATATATATATATATATATATATATATATATATATATATATATATAAAGTGTCCACCGTTAAGGATTAAAAAAAAATAGACTAATTATTTCATTAATCCAATTTGATTGGATGCCAACTTTAAGAATTGGATTACTTCAACTTTTTTAAGTTATATTTAATATTAATTAAAATTTTACAGTAAAAATTATTTTTAAATAAAAATAAACTATGTAGAATGATATAATTCACTTAAAATGTGTTCAGATCAATAAAAGGATAAAAAATGTTTTTTTTTTCAAGTTTTAACTTCCAAATAAAATATCGTTTTCCGCAATTTATTTAAATTGGGAGAAGTTGCCCAGAGAATCAAAGGGTAAGAAATATTTGTAGTTATATCGATCCTATGAAATAATTAAGGATTATAAAAATTGAGATAAATAATTTTGTAGTTCTTTAAATTAAAAAAATATTGTATTTGTTTAGTTTAGTAAGATATGATTTAATCCTCAAATACTAAATTTGAAAGACTAATTAAAAAAATGTTTTAATCATTTAAAATTATTATTTAGTGACTAATCTATTTTTTTTCAATTTTGAAAGTTTAAAATAATTTTATTTAAATTATAAATATTAAAATAAAAATCATTCGATGTTTCAAAAAGTAAAACATAACTAAGCCAATAGTTAGAATAATAAAAAAATAATTTTAATGTCTTTGTGAACTTTCATTCTATATTTTCTTTAAAGGAATATGAAGTTACTAGAGAGATTGATTTTACACAACTTTGAAAAAGGATTTAACACTATTTAAAACACTCTTTAACAACAATTAAAGAATCATAATCTCTATCAAAAGTAAGAAGACAGTTAAAATAATAATTGTCATAATATATGTTTTATTTTTTAAATTTATTTCAACAGTGTTACAAAATTCTTATATTATATTATATAAATGTTTTATCAATAATACATATTTGTTGGCAAAATTTTGGTCATGTATATATATGATACATATTTAAATGTGTTAAGGTCATTATTTATTAAGCCAAATAATAAAGTGATCTGACTAAATTAAAAAATGTTTGACTAAAGACATATGTCATGAAAATAAAATTGTGTAGAGACCATAGAGCAATTTCTAATTTGATGAGGGGCCAAATTGGAAATACTAAAACTTAAGTAATTAACCTAATTTTGGTTATTTTAAGGGGTCATGGTCCCCTTCTGGGAGCACGTAGACAAAACGTGAGTTACTGATCCGTTCTTTTCTTTCTATCCCCATCAAGAGAGAAAATCAAGAGGGAAATACAGTGCTTCTTCAGTGTGAAAGACCATAAGATCAATAAGTACTTTAAAAGGGACATCATCATTATGGCTAATTCAGGTACGTTTTCGCATTTAGTTTACAACATGTTTACAGTATGAGATTATTTTATATTTGATCGTTAGATTGAAGATCATATTTAATTATCAGTTTATCTAACAATTGGTATCAGAGCAACTCATACTTGATTCATATTTGTCTTTGGAAATTACATTTATCAAAAATTCTATTCAATTCAGAACCCTAAGTGGAGAATAATCTCCAATTTTTGTAAACCTTAAATTTAAATTTGAGGGTAAATTCCCAAATTTTTAAACCTAATTTCGAATTTGAGGGTTTGAAAATCTGAAAGAAAATGGCAGCCCTATTCTTTCATAAGTTACTAGACTTGGATCATCATGTCAATCGTGTAACAGTAGTAGCATTTATGACTGCATGCTACGAAAGTAATGATTACGCTCTTGTTTCTGATTTGTCGTCAAGGATATACAAGGAAAACCATTTGGCAATCAAAGTGACTAAATAACAAATTTATGATGTGCTTTGACGCTTTGTAAACTTGGTTACATCTGGATCATTAACTAGTCGGATTTTGATAGAGGAATTTGGGATGTATACTTGTTGGAGATGTGAGATTTGTGGCATCTAGATGCTGAATTCTGCATTAGATTACCGTGTTAATGTGATCAACATCTGGGCTCATGAAGGGCACCAATCCTGTAACACAAAGGGATGTGGTTGTGTCCATGCGGTTTTGAGAGACAAGTTGGTATAAAAATTATAGTAGAGGTTCTTCCACAGGGATATAATTTCTCCTACAGGGTGTGACTTCTCTCACATGGATGTGATTTGCATGTTGCCATATCGGTATAGAAATTACATCAAAGGTTTTCTCAGTGGTATGGCTGAGCATATATATATATATTTGATTTTATTATATAAATAAAATATTAATTTGTTTGGTAGTTTAATATTTTTGTGAGCAAATTGAGTCAATAAGTTACCAAAGTAACATCTCTTGAATTGGGTAGTTTGTGAAAAATATTAAATGTTAGTGTTTGTGTATATTCATGCGAGTATTAGTCGACTCAAAGGAAGATTAATATTTGGTCGAATTACATACACACCTGTAATGATAAACATATGATAATTATAAGGATTTACTTTGTCGATGATAAATCAATCCAAAGATTGGTTTGTTGTTGGACGTGTTTTATTGTCAATGTTTGATTATTACAACAAGATACCTCTAGCAGTTAATATTACTGTTCAAAGACTTGATATTGATCGGTGCATTGGGTGTCTTGAGATGGGTTAAACCATTATTTGAATATATATTTTATTTATAATTATTTATTTTTTATAATGTGAGCATAATTAATTTATTTCTCTTATTTTTAATTTAGCTACAATTGTTTTCAGTATCCGGCAATTTAAATTATGTTCCGATCCTCAAAAGTATGTTTCCTACTTTGGTCTGTTCTGAAGTCAATTTAGCGTCAGTACATAGTAACACTTGGTGGTTAGACTCAGGTGCAACTACTAACATCAGTTTTCTATAAAGGGTTGTCTAAGCTATCGGAAGTCAAT